GGGGGGAAGGGGAACACCCCTCAAAGAACGGGGTGCGGGGGTCGCCACGAGAGGTGCCTACAGCGACGATGCTCGCCTCAGCTGCAAGCAGTTCCTTCTCGAGGAGGGCAACAGTGAGCTCAGTGGGGGAGCGAGAGAGGAAGTGGTCCCTGACTGCGCGCAGAGAGTCAGGGAGGCGGGTGACGATGTGGTAGAGAGTGATCCAGAGTGGGGGGGGGTTGCTAGTGAGAAACTCGGCAGGCATAGCAGCGCGAAAGCGGGCCTCACTAGTCTTAAGGTGGGTGATGAGGTCTGCGACAGTGTGAAAGGAGGCTAGGTCGGGGAACAGGTAGGGGAGAGTGAGGCGGCCTAGCGTGGCAGAAGCGGGTGAGGAGTAGCGGGCAACTACAGCGGTGTAGAGGTCCTTAGCAGTCTTGCACTGGCCGAAGTGCTCGCGCTCATCTAGCGGCAGGGAGTTGCGAATAGCAAAGCGAGCATGCGCATCACGGGTCTGCCACTGGGAACGCAGAGTGCTGTCAGCAGTCGAGTCAGGGGCAGTGGCATGGCCTAGGGCGTGGTCGTACAGTGAGATATCTTCCTTGGCAGTGAGCTGTAGGAACAGATGCAGGTCATCTAGCCAGGTTTCGAACTTCACTGGACGGCCCTCGGCATCGAAAGCTAGAACGGGAGGGCTAGCCATAGCGACAGTAGCAGTAGGAATCAGGCCGCTGGAACAGTGTGCGGAGAGTCAACGGGGCCGGCTGGGCCACTAGGTAAGGCGCGGGCGGGGTCGACTGTCCGTAGTGGCACACTAGCGGCAGTAGTAGGTAGCTGGGCAGCAGGAGCTGCAACGGTGCACTGGTGGCTGGTGTAGTGGCAGCAGTGTGCACGGTAGATAGAAAATAATAGCAGTGAGAGCGTGGGCCTCGCGGGCGGCGGCTGAAGAAGCGCACGAGTGGCAGCGGCGGTGCACGAGTAGCGGTGGCGCACGGGCAGCAGCAGTGTAGGGGCAGCAACTGTGCCCGGGAGGGAGCGGTGCGCAAGCAGCAGCGGAAGAAGCGGCGTACAAGCGGCTGCGGGCAGCAGGGCGTGCGCGAGTGGGCGACGGCGGCTGCAGGTGGGCGGCCACTGAGACGGCGGGCTACGGGCCTGCGGGGCGTGTGTGCGCAGGCGACGGGCGGCTGCGGAGCGAGCGCGGGCAGGCGACGGGCGGCTGCGGGGCGTGCGCGAGCAGGCGACGAGCGGCTGCGGGGCGTGCGCTAGCGGGCGACGAGCGGTTGCGGGGCGTGCGCGAGCGGGCGACGAGCAGCTGCGGGGCGTGCGCGAGCAGGCAACGGGCGGCTGCGGGGCGCGCGCGAGCAGGCGACGGGCGGCTGCGAAGCGTGCGCTAGCGGGCGACGGGCGGCTGCGAGCGAGCGGCCGCTGCGACGGCGGGCTGCGGGCCTGCGGGGCGTGTGCTAACGGGCGACGGGCGGCTGCGGGGCGGCGCGACGGGGCCGTAAGGGGCCTCTAGGTCAAAAAACGACGGGGCCGCGGGGCCTCTAGGCGGGGCTCGATCGACGGGGCCAGCAGGGCCGAAAAAAAAGGTTAATAATAAAGCGCTCGAGGGCGCTACGTGGGAGGCGCTAAGAAGGCACTCCGGTAGTAGGTAGGTAGGTAGGTAGGTGGGCCCTTAGGACGGTCCTAGCGAAGGACCTGCTCTGAAACCATGTCGGAGTTAACAGACAGGAATGACTGAACTAACAAGGAAGGCAGTACAAATAGTAAACCCTAGAGATCTGTACCCCATATGGTCTAACCCACTGTAGCCTAACAGCAACCAACACATATAATGTTTGACAACGACTGCTCCCACGCTCCCTTTTTTTTTGTAAGATTTTCCCAAGGTGTGCGTTTAAACACCGGGGGTCCTAGGTATCCCTGCCGCTGTGTTTCTTGCCAGGCAACTTCGAAAAGTGCCCTTCAGGCGAAGTCCCCCAACGACTCAACCGCACTCCAAGAAGCGAAGAAATACCCGCAGCTTCAGTAATTTTTTTCGTTTCACACCCCCCGACAATTCCGCTTCCCGCCGTTCACCCAGCGTCCGCTTTTGTCAGATGGGGTATGGTCGGTGTTGCTCGCGCGAACCCGGCTACGGCGGAGGGGCAAAAGCTATCGGAGTCGGGGACCCTTATGTAAAAGGAACAATCACCCAACCGTTTTGCAGCCCACCGCAACCATCGCGCCACTAAACTCTACGGCTTCCCAGTCCCTGCTTCACCGCTGCGTCGTCACACCTCGTGTAGACGCCCGGGTCAGAGGAAACCTGAAAAACTGCACCATTGTTGTCCTTGCGGCGCCTCGATTTTTTCGCGTGCTGTTTCAACCAGCCCGCTTTTGTCGGAGAAGCATAGTGCCGCAACTCCCCCTTTTTTTGTTTTTTCTGTACAGCTGTCGAACGGGCACCAAACCAGGTGCTTTTAACCAGCGCAGGGTAGGCCACGTGTTCACCCCCGTTATTCGGCCAAGTAAGTTGACTGCATGAATCAGAACTAAAACTTGGCGGGAATGGTGAGGTTCGGGCGACGGAAGGTCACAGATCGTTCACACCGGCTTTTAACCTGCCCTTCACGCCGTTTTTGACCCCCGCTTAGGCGTCGGGCAGTTTCTTCCCGTGTGTCCCGGCGGCCTGTACCAACTCCTCCGTAAATGTCAAGGCAGTACGTTGAACGCCGTTTAATCGTGGGTCGTTCGCAGCTGTCCCCGAAAACGGCTTCCCTGGTAGGAGAAACCGCCCTCGAAACTGCCGGCCAGCTTGCAACAACTCCATGCACGCAGCGTCGTACGAGTCGTTTTCCGAGGATACCGGCCCCGGTTTCCCTCGTCGCCAGCGCCCCACTTCTGCTAAGTGCGATATGGCCACTCCGCTTTTCGTTGCAGCCCGTAAGTGTCGGCGGGTCCAAAAATCCCGTCTTTCCACGTGCACTCCTGCCAAAATACTCGATGACGCACCCGCCATGCAGAAAAAGCCGCTGCACTTTTAGGTCGGGCGGGACGGCAGTTAACTCTCGCTAAGTCGAGCAGTCTATGCCGTCTCTCCTCGCCACCGACATTTTCGGACGCAAAACTCCATTTGCACCTGGCAAGTTCCCCAGCTGCCTTCTTCTTGAACAGTTGCTCCAAAAATCTCGCCACAGTGACGCATGTCCGTTTTCAACAGTTGCCGATCCACACTGTCTGATTGTCGCGGAGCTGTTGACCCAGGTCCATCGACGTCAACTGCCACACACGATAACGACTCCACGATTTTCGTGCAGGTGCCGACGCAGGTCCGCTGACGCCAGCTGCCTCACAAAATCCGAAATCGTCGGTAATTAAAGCAGCGGAAATAGTAACTCACATTTGATGCCGCGCCAGCTCCAGCTAACCGTTGCCCGGGGGGAGGGAGGTCACGGTCGATCACGACCGTTCGAGGTAAGGATCTGGCGGTGCTGAAGGAGTGCCCTACAAAATTATCGCCGTGAGGAGCAACTAACTAGTTCTCTTGGCCGGCCTACGCAACTCCTGGACCCCAAGGCATCTTTCCTCCCCCCCCCCCCCCCCCCCCCCCCGAGGGGTAATACACTCTAAAAAGCGGGGTAGGCTAGGAAAGTAGCTCTGATACCAGGTGTTATGAATGAACTTGTCAGAGTGCGCAGATATCGAATAACGAGAATGAGAATTACAGCATGATGAACCAATGAAGTAGCGAGGCCTAAATAGGGGAAAACCTAGCTAGGCGGGGAGGTCGGGAAAGGTTGGGTCGCGAAAGGTCGTGATTGGTGCGGAGGCGGCTCGGTGAGGTTTGGATTTTTTTTTTTTTGCGAAGTAACCTATTACGATCGATTTGGCCAGTTTTTTTTTTTTCCACATTTTACATAATTGTTTTTAATATAAAATGTGAAAAAATCTGGAACCCTAGTTGCTAGCTATGTAATTTGTACGAGGTACTGTTTTGCTTTGTGATTTTTGGAACATAACTATGTTGTCTGTGCGCTTTACTATGATGTACTTTACTACAATGTAATATGCACTTGATATGAAACGATGCATATGGTTGGTGAATGTACTAGATGAATATAATGTTATATGAAAATGTATATATATAATATATGTAATATGATCTGATATGATATATGAATAATAGTTATGCTGACAATTCATAATGCATATATATGATAAAGATGCGCGAAAGCTAACGACCCAAAACTACGCTACCGCATCCTCTGCCTAGCATTGGGAGGAGCTAATAGCATAATTTTTGAATAATCAGCATTCACATGAAACAACACAATCTGTGAACCCTAAAAAAATGGTCGACTCTGTCAAATCCAGCTCAAGTGGGCTCCCGACAGGCGCGCCAATGAACCTTCTAATGAAATGACAGACTTGAGACATTTCTTTAAAACCCACAGACATGCATTGTTATTGCAATAATGATATGGATAATTGAAAATGGATAAATGCACACACACACACACGCACACACGCATACCAAACACTGACGCACACGCAATAAAACCGACAACATAATAAAAATACAAGGCACATGAGTGGACACAAATGAACGAATTCTACAAGCCACCACTAGTACGGTATCTTCCAGCTTTCCACATTGTGACTTGATTTTTTTTAATGTAAGAGCAAGCTGAAATACAGAACAAAAGTGAAAAGAGGGAACAAGGGAAAGGCGAAGGACATTGATCAAAATTGAAGAACGAAAGTACGGAATACATCGCAACGTAACTACATCTGCTACGATGTACTCATGAAATACAAATTCAGAAATTGAGAGCGGCGATGATGAAATAAGAAACATACGGTAGGAAAGGAAATGGGGCAAACAACATTATGACGGAAAGGAATAACGACAACAACATGAGAAACAACAAAATCAGTAATGTAAGCGACGACAATGGAAGAAGAAAAGTAGAAAAAAAAAGGGAGGCGTATTACAAGAAGCAAAGAGAGGGAAAAACAACGATGCACCTTAGCTGTGAAATTTAAAGAGAAAGAACGAGAGATAGGGAGACCAAGAGAGAGAGAGAGAACGAGAGAGAGAGAGAGAGAGAGAGAGAGAGAGAGAGAGAGAGAGAGAGAGAGAGAGAGAGAGAGAGAGAGAGAGAGAGAGAGAACGAACGACAAAGAGAGAACAAGAGAGAGAGAGAGAGAGAGAGAGAGAGAGAGAGAGAGAGAGAGAGAGAGAGAGAGAGAGAGAGAGAGAGAGAGAGAGAGAGAGAACGAGAGAGGGAGAACGAGAGAGGGAGAACGAGTGAGGGAGAACGAGAGAGGGAGAACGAGTGAGGGAGAACGAGAGAGGGAGAACGAGAGAGGGAGAACGAAGAGGGAGAACGTGAGAGGGAGAACGCGAGGGAGAGAACGGGAGAGAGAGAACGGGAGAGAGAGAGAGAGAGCGGGAGAGAGAGAACGGGAGAGAGAGAACGGGAGAGAGATAATGTGAGAGAGAAAACGGGAGAGAGAGAACGTGATAGAGAGAATGGGAAACGAGCGAGAGAGAACGAGAGAGAACAAAATGGACTAAACATGCAGCCTATAATAATCGTTATGTACAACCTAAGGCGAGGTTGAGAAAAAATAAAACGAACTAAAACATGCAATTATTAAGCAAAGGAAACCGACGAAAGGAAAGCTAACGATGAAGAATAGAAGATACGGATGCAAGATTAAACAGGAAGAAACGAAATCTTAAGAAAAAAAAAGAAAAACATGAAATCTTCACGAAGGGCCTAAAGCCTAAGTTTAAACGATTAGGTCTAACTATTAGTAATCTATTAGGATACGAAATGACTAAATGTTAGTCTATCTAATAGGCATCTAGCTTAGATGAAGTTAGAGCTGAAGGATTCTCACCTTAGTTGCAGTTAGACTAGGCGGGGTTGTTGGTAGAGCGTGATGAGCGAGAAGAAGAGAGGGAGGGAAAAGAGAGACCCACAAACCCTAAGGCTGTTTCGTATTTCATCGCGTCACTTCCTTTCGAGTTGATTTCGTTAACTTTGACTTGAGTTACACACTCGGTATAAAAGTGAAAGCATCCATCTAAAACAAGATCTATACTTGGTTTCATAAGTTGTATAATATGTGTTAACTATGCAAAGCGCTTCGCAACCCTAAGACGATCTCGTCGCCTCTTGTTTTATTTTTTCGTAGGTGAAAATGCATTATACAACGTACAACGCAAAACACCGTCGGTCGTAACCGGAGCTAGAGGGCATAGGTAGTGTATACCGTACCCTCGCAGATATCTACGGAGGCTTATAGACCAAACGCCTAAAAAATTCAACTTGCCCGCTATAAACTCCCATTGTGCCGTTTGTCGAAATCAACAGACAGGAATGATTGAACTAGCAGTGAAATCAGTACAAGTACCTAACCCTAGAATTGTGTACCCCCTATAGGCTAACCCACTGTAGCCTAAACAAACACAACATATATAATGTTTGACACACCCCCATAGGCAAAGTGGGGGAGAGCAAGGGGTCACAAGACCAGTCAAAGCAAAGCAAAACAAGCTCAGGGTGGATCTCAAGGATACCACACAAATTCTGAGCACAAGCTAGTGGTCACAAGACCAGTTCACATGCAGGTTGATAATATAACAAGAGATACAGTGATCACAACCTAGCAAGTGTAAACATGCAGGCATATATATAAAGATCACAGTACAAGCAGAGTCAAGAAGTAAGTAAGTGAGGTCCAGCAGGCACAAGGCCTAGAAGAGTACAGAAACGCTGATGGTCACAAGGCTGAAGCGCCTTAGTGAACACATCAGCAAGGTTGGCCTCAGTGGCCACGTAACGCAGACGAAGCTGACCACGCTGCTGCAGCTCTCGAGCAAGGAAGTACCGCAGGGCGATGTGCTTCGTTCTGTGCTCCAGTCTGTGCTCCTCACACAAGGCAATGGCAGCCTGGTTGTCGACGTACAGCACTGGAGGAGAACGAGGCCGCTCTCCCAAGTCGGTCAGCAGGTAGGTCAGCCAGCGTAGCTCCTGGGCAGCCATGGCTGTGGCGTAGATCTCAGCCTCACAACTGGAGCTGAGAACAGAAGAAGAGCGTGTAGAACGCCAAGAAACTGAGCCGGAGCCAAGGCTGAAGGTGTAACCCTGAGACGACCGCTGAGTAGCCTGGTCGTCCGCCCAAGAAGCGTCTGAGTGTCCAGTAAGTACAACTCGGTCTCGCCCTCCAAGCACTAGCCCCATGCCCGACGTACTGCACAAGTAGCGCAACACCCTCTTAGCGGCATCCATGTGCTCCTTCCTGTGACGGCCAGGAGCGACATAGCGTGCAAGGATGCTAAGAGGGTATGCAAGGTCAGGTCGAGTGTAGGTCATCAGGTACATGAGGCAGCCCACAAGCTCTGGATACGGGCCACTCGGCTCTACGGACTCATCCGAAGGCAGAGCTGAGAGCGAGTGACCGGCAGGCAGAGGAGTGGACTGAGGCGAGGAGTACGTGAAGCGGAAGCGCTGAAGGATCTGCTGCACCATGTGTGACTGAGTCAAGGTGATGGTGCGCCGTGCTCTGTCCCGGGTGATCCGCAAGCCAAGATAGCTTGTCAGTTCACCTAGGTCTGTGCACGTGTGTCTCCTCTGCAGCTCCGACTTCACGTGGGCGAGTGCCGCGGTGTCAGCAGTGGCAAAGACCAAGTCGTCGACGTACACGAGGATGTAGAACGGCGGCAGTGAGGTGTCTGTGCGTAGAAACAGTGACGGGTCAGCAGTAGAGGGAGCGAACCCAAGAGCCGCAAGTGTCGTCCTCTGTGTGTCGTGCCACTCACGCGGTGCCTGGCGGAGACCGTAGACCGGCCGCTGAAGCCTCCACTGGGTACCAGAAGGAACCGACCCAGTGAAGCCAGGAGGGCGGCGCAGCCAGATCTCCTCGTGCAGGCTGCCCTGCAAGAAAGCAGTGCTGAAGTCAAGTGAGTGAAGCTCGTAGTCGCGCTGAGCGGCTATGTGCAGCAGCACCCGAAGAGTGGTCATCTTCGGGGTGGGGGAGAAGGTCTGGAAGAATTCAACTCCCTCTCGCTGACTGAAGCCTCGAGCCACGTAGCGCGCCTTGAAGACAGGAGGAGAACCCGGTGGCCGCTTCACCCTGAAAATCTACATGCCACTGACGATGTTCGCCCCAGGTGGGGGAACCTCGTCGACGTAGGTGCCTGTGGACTTCCAGGAAGCCATCTCTGCGTCCATGGCTGTCTGCCACTGAGAGGAGTAGGGACCCGCCATCGCCTTAGCGTAAGTGCGCGGGGTCGGGATGTCTGGTGCATCCGGGTCTCCCTCAGGGGCAACTAGCATGGACACGAGGTGGGGTAAAGCAGCAGCAAAGCACTGGAACTCCTCGTGTCTGTCCTCAAGGACGTCCGTGCCAAGAGCACACTCACCCCCGACGGACGGAGGACAGACAGACTCAGACTCAGACTCAGCAACAAGGCTAGTGGCGTAGTCTAGACGACACCGGGCAGCAAAGTCTATCAACTCAGCGACCAGAGCAGACGCAGCAGAGGACTCAAAGGTAGGGTCAGTGACAACAGTAGCGAGGAGACGGGTGACAGTGGGACTGGCAGCACGACGGGAGTCAGACTCCGGATCAGGAAGAGTAGGCAGAGAGGACGCAGGAGGAGACGGCAGCGGAACACGCTGAGGAGTAGTGGAGGGACGCAGAGTCATGTAGTGAGTGCCAGGGACAGGAGGAGGACGCTCACGTGGGACACGACGACCAGTGCGAGCAGTACGAACAGGCGACGCAGGACGAGACTCAGGCTCACGACGCTCCGTAAGACCTCCTGTGGGACCAGTGTAAGGAGAGGGAGCAGGGAGAGGCGAAGCAGGCGGAAATTGTGACTGCGACTGGACAGGCGGAGGACACTCTACGGAGGGAGGAGGACAAGGAGGAGGAGCCTGACCAAGAACCTGCTGAAGAAGTGGTACGAAGTACGGTCGCGGCCGCGTAGCGTCTCCAGAACCAGCAGAGACACCAGCGCTAGGGTCCTCAGCACCAGCAGCAGCTCCACCGTCCGGGTCCTCAGCTCCAGCAGCAGCTCCAACGCCCGGGTCCTCAGCACCAGCAGCAGCGCCACCGCTCGGGTCCGCAGCACCAGCAGCAGCTCCAACGCCCGGGTCCTCAGCACCAGTAGCAGCGCCACCCCCAGGGTCCGCAGCACCAGGAGCACCACTCCGAAGACTGCAGCGCCGTGTGTACCACTCTCGGATCTGCTGAATGGGGGGGAGCTCCTGGGCAGGAGGGGAAGTACTGGTACGAGCTCCAGTAGCACCTCTCCGGAGGCGGCAGTACTGTAGGTACCTCTCCTGCAGCTGCCGGGAGGAGAGGGCTCCTCCAGGTGTAGCACGCTCAGGCTCAGCACCCCCAGACTCAGCACCCCCAGACTCAGCACCCCCAGGCTCAGCACCCCCAGGCTCAGCACCTCCAGGCTCAGCACCCCCAGACTCAGCACCCCCAGGCTCAGCACCCCCAGGCTCCGCACCCCCAGGCTCCGCACCCCCAGGCTCCGCACCCCCAGGCTCCGCACCTCCAGGCTCAGTACCCTCAGACTCCTCACGGTCAGGCTCAGCACCCCCAGCAGGACGAGAGTCAACAGCTACCTCGACAGGCTCAACCGGGTCTACCTGGGACACACCTGAGGGAGCGGCACCCTGAGGGGGGAGGGGGTCTGGTACCTCAGCACCTGGAGCGAGGAAGAGAGGCGGGGGGGGGGGAGCGGGGCAGTGCGGTAGGGGAAGAGGCGGTAGTAGGGGACGGACTCATCAAAAGTGACGTCCTGAGAGGCCAGGACACGACGCGAGGTGGGGTGGTAGAACTGCCAACCAGGCGCGTCCGGGACAAAGCCAAGGAAGACACAGGGGACAGCTCGACGGGAGAGCTTGTCCGCGGACGTATCGCGAACAAAAGCTCGAGATCCCCAGACCCGAAAACGCGACGCATCGCCAGCCTCTCCCGTCCAACGCAGTGTCGGAGAAGTCTCCGGTAAGGAGACACGGGGCCAGAGGTTGAGCTGATGCGCAGCGTATCGGACTGCAAACGGCCACAGAAAGTGGGGGGCAGCTGCATGAACCAAGGAGGTACGAGCGACCTCCATGACCAAGCCAATGCGGCGCTCAGCAACCCCATTCTGCTGTGGAGAGGCCGGAAGCGTGAACGACCGCCCAATGCCCTCCTGCTGACAGAAGGCCTCCAAGAGGCCAGAGGAAAACTCCCCACCTCTGTCAGAGTGCAGACGCAGGACAGGGAAGTCGGAGCGGAAACGCTCACTGAGCTGGAGACGAGATCTGCGGATCCAAGGGATCAAGACATCAGGGACGTCACCCTTGGTGCGCAAGGGGAAGACCGTGGTGTAGCGCGAGAAGTCGTCAACAACAATCAGGAAGTACCTCTCCTGACCCTGACCACGGACTCGGGCTGGGCCCCACACGTCCATGTGGAGCGTCTGCAAAGGAGCAGTCGTCGGGGGGAAGGAGGAGGAGTGAGGAGCGGCGCGCTGCCGCCCCTCGACACAGGGAAGACAGGGAGGAGCAGGCGAGGGTGGGAGGGGAGGGAGAACCCTGGGAAGACCAGCAACAAGGTCCCGTTTGTGCATGGCCCGAAGGCGCTGCACAGACGGGTGACCAAGGCGGTGGTGCCAGAGGACAGTCTCATGCGCCAGAGAGCGACACGAGCAGGGGGCGGACAGCTGACCTGACGCAGACGCAGACGCGGACGCAGCTACCTGAGGGGACTCAGTGGTCAGTGTGTACAGGTCCGACCCCGGCTGCCGAGTGAAGGTAGCCAGGTGACGGCCCGTCCGAGCACACGTGCAGTGGGTCACGCGCTCGTAAGCAGGGGTGAACTGGTGAACACCCCCGTCCTGGAGCGCACTACCTACCACCAAGTTCGTAGAGAACGAGGGGAGGTAGAGACCTGACAGTGTGCCTGACGGGACCGCAGGACAAGGAAGGACAGTGGAGGAGGTCGCAACGACCGGACCCCCAGAGGGGTCAGCGAGGGAGACAGCAACTGGCCGAGCAAGCGGCTCAAGGACAGTGCGGTCACGAAAGAAACAGCGAGAAGCACCTGAGTCCAGTGTGAAGGTGTGCAGTGCTGCAGTCGACTCAGTACCAGAGGGCACGGACTCACTAGCACCTAGAGCAGCAGCCTCACCAGGACCTGGGGCAGCAGACTCACTAGCACCTAGAGCGGCAGCCGGACTGGTCTGAATGCCCGGGTCGGGCGGAACACGCAAGTACTGAGCACCCTCTCCACTAGTAAACATCGCATACATGGCAGTGAGAATAGCATCAAAGTCTAAAGCCCAGATATCAACTCCCTTCTTCTCCAGATCAGCCCAGCGGGGCAGGTCAGTGGCATCAGGAAACTGGGCACGCCACGCGTCAGTAAGGCGCGCGAAACAGCGCTGTGTGGGATGCGGCCTCCCACACTGCTGGCCAGTGCGGTCACCAGTGCGAATGACGTACGTGCAGGTAAAGCCACGCTGCGCATACCACTCACGGGCGGCCTGAAGCGACGGGGCGGGCTGCTGACTCTGGCCACCGCCAGCGCCTCCACGACCACCACTGCCGCCGCCACCGCCTCGGCCACCTCCACCCCTGCCGCTGCCACGACCACCTCCACCTCCGCTGCCGCCTCCACCCCTGCCGCCACTCCCGCCGCTGCTGTCACCACCCCCACTGCCGCCACTAGCCTCCCCAGCCGCTCCTCCACTCCCACCGCCTCCACCCCCACCTCCTCCGCCGCCACCTCCACCCTTGCCCCCTTTGCTCTTGCGGCGCCCGCTCGAAGCAGACGCGGCCCCGACCTTCTCAGCACCAAGGAGGTCGACAGCAGCAGCAGAGGCGACAGAGGGGAGGAGAGGGGAAGGGGAACACCCCTCAAAGAACGGGGTGCGGGGGTCGCCACGAGAGGTGCCTACAGCGACGATGCTCGCCTCAGCTGCAAGCAGTTCCTTCTCGAGGAGGGCAATGGTGAGTTCAGTGGGGGAGCGAGAGAGGAAGTGGTCCCTGACTGTGCGCAGGGAGTCGGGGAGGCGGGTGACTATGTGGTAGAGAGTGATCCAGAGCGGGGGGGGTTGCTGGTGAGGAACTCGTCAGGCATAGCAGCGCGAAAGCGGGCCTCACTGGTCTTAAGGTGGGTGATGAGGTCAGCAACTGTCTGAAAGGAGGCCAGGTCGGGGAACAGGTAGGGGAGAGTGAGGCGGCCTAGTGTGGCAGAAGCGGGGGAGGAGTAGCGAGCGACTACAGCAGTGTACAGGTCCTTAGCAGTTTTGTGCTGGCCAAAGTGCTCGCGCTCGTCGATCGGTAGGGAGTTACGAATAGCGAAGCGAGCGTGGGCGTCACGAGTCTTTCACTGTGAGCGCTGAGTGCTGTCAGCAGTGGTAGGAGGGGCAGTAGCGTTGCCTAGGGCGTGATCGTACAGTGAAACGTCCTCCTTAGCAGTGAGCTGTAGAAAGAGGTGGAGGTCATCGAGCCAGGTTTCGAACTTCACTGGACGGCCCTCAGCATCGAAAGTAAGTACAGTAGGAGTAGCCATAGCGGCAGTAGCAGTAGCGGTAGAAACAGTAAGAATGAGGCCGCAGGGAAGCTGTGGGCAGTGTCAGCACACGGGCGGCAGCAGCTGATGCGCACGGGCGGGAGCGGCAGTGGGCGCAGAAGCGGCGGCCGCAGTGGGAGCGAGTGCAGCAGCGGCAGCGGTAGCAGGCGCAACAGGAGCGCACGGGCGGTAGCGGCCGCGGCGCACGAGCGGGAGCGGCTGCGGGCGACGCGCAGGCGGTAGCTGCAGCGGCGGGCCCGTGGTAGCGGCAGCTGCAGCGGGCGACAAGCAGGCGGCAGCTGCAGCGGGCGACGAGCGGGCGGCAGCAGCAGCGGGCGACGAGCGGGCGGCAGCTGCAGCGTGCGACGAGCGGGCGGCAGCAGCAGCGGGCGACGAGCGGGCGGCAGCTGCAGCGGGCGACGAGCGGGCAGGCGCTGCAGCGGGCGACGAGCGGGCGGCAGCAGCAGCGAGCGACGAGCGGGCGGCAGCTGCAGCGAGCGACGAGCGGGCGGCAGCAGCAGCGGGCGACGAGCGAGCGGCAGCTGCAGCGGGCGACGAGCGGGCGGCAGCAGCAGCGGGCGACGAGCGGGCGGCAGCTGCAGCGGGCGACGAGCGGGCAGGCGCTGCAGCGAGCGACGAGCGGGCGGCAGCAGCAGCGAGCGACGAGCGGGCGGCAGCTGCAGCGGGCGACGAGCGGGCGGCAGCTGCAGCGGGCGACGAGCGGGCGGGCGCTGCAGCGGGCGGGCGGCAATGTGCAGGCCTGCGGGGCCGCTGCGGGCTGCGCTATAGCGGTGCGAGCGGCGCACGGGCGGCTAGCCGGTCGCGCTCAAAAGAAATCGGCCGCGCGCGGGCAGCTAGCGGGTCGCGCGCGGTTAAAAAAAAAAAAAAAAAAAATAGAAAACGAGCCGCGCGCGATTGGCTGGCGGGCTGCGCGCGCGCGGTAGGTAGGAGGCGCACTGGGGCGCGTAGGCGCACGAGGGCGCACGGTAGGTAGGTAGGTAGGTAGCGGTGGGCCCTAAGAACGGTCCTAGCGAAGGACCTGCTCTGAAACCATGTCGAAATCAACAGACAGGAATGATTGAACTAGCAGTGAAATCAGTACAAGTACCTAACCCTAGAATTGTGTACCCCCTATAGGCTAACCCACTGTAGCCTACACAAGCATAACATATATAATGTTTGACACCGTTGGCACAGGTGAGGTTTGTCAGAGGTCCACTGGTGATCCCCGATCGATCCTAGGGAAGGGTTACAGGCATTGCGGCCTGGGGGGTTATAGGCGCACTCACCCGCTACTTAAACAAGCCCTTTTATCCCAATGGTTAGTGACTGGGATTCTGACATGGTATCAGAGCAAAGGTCTCGGGTTCGAATCCCGGTGTGTGTCACTTCGGGCATCCCAGTGCGAGGGGGTGTCAGAGGTCCACTGGTGATCCCCGATCGATCCTAGGGAAGGGTTACAGGCATTGCGGCCTGGGGGGTTATGGGCGCACTCACCCGCTACTTAAACAAGCCCTTTTATCCCAGTGGTTAGTGACTGGGATTCTGACAAGGTTTGGATGCGAAATTGTAGGCCGAACCAGTTGGTCGCGTGGCCCTCGGGATGGTCTCGCTAATGAGTGCCTCAGTAAGAATTTGTAAATCCTTACAAATTTAATATACCCCCCCTAAAAAAATGTGTTTTATTATACCCTCTGGGTCGGGCATACCGAAACAGTGCACCAATGAACATGCTCGCACAACATCGCGCGAACGTGCTGATTTCCTGGCGCACGGTTCCATTTGACGAGCAGGCGTTTGCCCTGACGATGCTGTTGACACCCATTCATGATCAGTTGTGGGGTTTGGCAGTCGTGCGTTGTGCAAGAACGTGCAGACTGTGCAAACATACATTGTGAAAGTTTGAGCTAGAGGCGCCACGGGACAAAGAGACCACCCCCACACGTTAAGGAGTTCAGGAGCCCAGTCATCGCAAACCACATGACCCACTACACCACCTTGTTGAGAGTTTTGTGCATACATATTTCGCTGAATGAGTCTTATAGATGCTCATCCATCCTCACTACCAACAACATGGGTTGGAAGTGTATAGGTCAAGCAAGCACTACTGAGGACGCATCATGGAGTGTAGAGGATCTGGCGTATGTTAAGTGGATGACGGCAGAACTTGCCGCAAGGAGACCGATGGCAAAACTCCTAAGTAATGTGGGACAGCCGCCCTTGCAGTCTACTGTCACACCTCATTCCACCCCCAATTCGAGCAATGTTGGTGTATTTACCGACTACGGTACGGATGAGGAGGACCAGGACAAGGATTCGGCTGACGACGATGACGACGTCGCCACAGACGGCGCCGACCCAGTTGTGGCGTAGTGCGGCGACCCGGAATACAATGGCGTCGTCGAAGATCGCGCCGATGCTCCAGCTAAGAGTCGTAAGAGAGGAGGCACCAGCACTCGTAAAAATGCTAGTCGAAAGGGCGAGGGCCGTGCCAAGGTTGATGCTCGATGCGTGGCGATAATTGATGCCATTCCAGAAAAAACCCCATGCATGGTGTGGTACCCAGGGAGCTGTTGAAGCAGATAGAAAGGGGCGATAAATCCCCCATGGTGGGAGTGGATGCCTTCTCCTGTGTTTTCTCTTGCGCTTCTTCCTGTGTTTTCTTCGTTTTCTCCTGTATTATCTCATGTACTTTCTGAGTTTTCTCTTGTGCTTTCTCTTTTTGCTCCTGTGCTTTCTCAGTTTTCTCTTATGCATTCTGTGCTTGCTCCTCTGTTTTCTCCTTTGCTTTCCCCTGTCCCTACTGCTGCCCTCTCTTTTGCGCCTCCTCCTCCTTCTCCTGAACCTTATGCTCCGCGCCCCCTCCCTTCTCTCTCTTCACTCTCCGCAGCTGCTCCCAAATCCCCCCCTCCTCCTCCTGCTTCCCCTTGCTCTCTCTGTTCACTCTATCAAGCCGGTCTCGAATGCCCTCCTCCTCCCAGTGCTGCTCTCTCATGTGCCGTTGTATGCTGGCATGCAGGCTGAACATCTGGGCGCATTGGGGTGTGGGCAAGGGAACTGGTGGGAAGCAGGCAAGGGAAGGGGTCACATCACACAGACGAGGATAGAAGATAGAATCAGGGGAAGAACAACCTCACATGTATCAGCATGCTTGCATGCAAGCTGAACGTCTGAGCGCACTGGGGGTGTGGGCAAGGGAACTGGTGGGGAGGGGTGGAGGGATTACACAGAAGGAGGTAGGGAGATTGAATCAGCAGGAAAAAACAGCCTCACATATTGCAGCTTGCTGACATGTAGGCTCAACGTTTGGCAGCACTGCGGGTGTGGACAGGGGAACTGGTGGGTGGGGTGGAGAGGATACAAGGATCAGTGGAGGGGTGCAAGGATTGAGGGAGTGATTCAAAGAAGATGATGGAAGAGGGAGATCGAACAAGGGAACACCATCACGTGCTGCGTACGTGAAGTGTGCTGGCGTGCAGTGTGCTGGCGTGAAGTGTGCTGGCGTGCAGTGTGCTGGCGTGCAGTGTGCTGGCGTGCAGTGTGCTGGCGTGCAGTGTGCTGGCGTGCAGTGTGCTGGCGTGCAGTGTGCTGGCGTGCAGTGTGCTGGCGTGCAGTGTGACTGGTGGGGTGGGGCGGGGAGAGAGGGGGCAGCGGGCAATGAACAATGAGATGGCCGGAGGGTGGTATATAAGAAAAACGATGCCATGGTTAGGAATGGGAAGGGACTCACCCAAATGGGGCATGCAACTGCATGTGGCATTGCAGATGGTACTTTTTCCCTCCCAGACCAAACAAGAGGACTCGTGAGTCGACTCAGAAGATTGGGCTCGCATGGCATCACTACAATGCGGATAGGACTCACCCGGTTGGGGGCATGGGACTGCATGTGGCGCCGCATGTGGTACGTTCTCCTGAACGCTCTTCTGCAGTCCTAATGTGGACACACAAACGTTTTCTGCTGTAAGGCCAGCTGGTGGGGTGGGGCAGTGGGAAGAGGGGACGATGGAGGGATGAAGATTAGACACGTCTCGAAAACACGGGGGCATGTGATTGCAGCATGTACTGTCGCACGTGGTACTTCCTCCGAACGCCGCCGACAGTCCTCGAGTGCGCACACGAAGGACTTTGGGTGTGGCGAGTGGAGGGGTGCTATAGCAGGGAATGGTTGTCAGGCACGAGAGGGAGAGTGAAAGACCGGAGGGTGAGTGTATGAGGCCTTCCAGCCCCCATGTGGACACACAAAGAACTTCTACTGCAACCGTGTGGTGGTGGGCAAGTGGGTAGGGATTAGGGAGTGAGTGATGAGCGAGTGTGAGTGAGTGATGCGCGGGTGTGAGGGACAGCCTGACAGGGAACCAACCCCACTGGCAGGAGTGAGCGGCCAAATGCTGCTCACATACGACGACCGGGTGAACAGTTGAGGGTGAGAAAGTGAGTGTGAGTGAATAGTGAGTGAGTGAGTGCGTGCGTGCGTAAGTAAGTAGGTGAGTGCGTGAGTGATTGCGTGAGTGAGTGGGTGAGTGAGTGGGAGTGTGAGTGTCGGTGAGAGAGTGAGCAAGCAGCCCACGTGGTTGGAGTGAGAGGCCATGTGCTGCCATGCATATGCCGGCCGAGGGAAAAACTGCGGGTGAGGAAGTGAGTGAGTGAGTGAGTGAGTGAGTGAAAGAAAGTGTGCGTGTGATTGCAGGTGAGTAAGACCAGCCCACCTGGTTTAAATGAGAGGCCATGTGTTGCCTCACATACGCTGGCCGGGCGAACGCCATACCGCACTGCTCACACTCGTACCGTTTCTCCTTCGCCTTGCACCTCCTTCCCTCCCTGCCCTGCTCCCTTTCCTCCTCACTCTCATCTTCCCTATTCTTTTTTTTCCCTCCTGCTTCTCCTCTTTTTACTGGAACATTGTCCTCTTTTCCGCCTTCTTCTCCTTTCCTCTCCTTGTGCTTCCTCTTATTCTTGTTGCTTTTGTCCTCCTGCATGTCGTCTACCTTTATCTCCTCCTCCTCCTCCTCCTCCTCCTCCTCCTCCTCCTCCTCCTTCTCCTCCTCCTCCTCCTCCTCCTCCTCCCCCTCCTCCTCCTCCTCCTCCTCCTCCTCCTCCTCCCCCTCCTCCTCCTCCTCCTCCTCCTCCTCCTCCTCCTCCTCCTCCTCCTCCTCCTTCCCATCAACATCCCCCTCCACCACATCATCATCCTCCCTTGCCTCATTTTTCTCATTATTCCCACCATCCTCATTCTCTCACTGACCTCGTTGTTCTCATTAGTCTCAATGTTCTCATAAGTCTCAATGTTCTCATTATTCTCATTGTTCTCATTCTTCTCATTTGTCTCGTTCCTCTCATTCTTCTCATTATTCTCATTGCTCTCATTCTTCTCGTTCTTCTCATTATTCACGTTCTTCTCGATAGTCTCGTTATTCTCGTTATTCTTGCTTCTCTTGTTATTCGCGCCTTTCTCAATATTGTTGGTTTTCTTATGATTCTTATTCTGTCCACTCTTCTCACTAACCTTAATACCGTAATCGCTCGGACATACCACCCTAGGGTGTTATGATAACAGCAAAAAAAAAAAAAAAGGGGGGGGGGGGGGGGGGGGGGGGGGGGGGGGGGGGGGGGGGGGAGGGAAAGCTACATAACACCCGGGTCTTTTTATATGACATTTTTTAGTGTAAGGATTTTGATGCAAAGACAACTTGGGTGTTTCCAGAATTGGTTTAACATCACAGCTAGAAGCGAGAATGTGGGTTTTGGCGAGAACCTTTTCAACCCCCTTGAAATTGCGAAGTGGCACCTTTTTTGCCACTTGTTAGCTAACTATCTACCAGCGTGGCAGCAGCGTAAAAGAGGGAGGGGGGGGGAGATTTCGGCAGATTCTTTCAGAATTACCATGTGGTTTCATTGAGGAAGTGATTTCCGCGACGTTTTGCAGTACTCGCTAACAGCTATAATTAGAAAATCTGTAAGAAAGGGGGGTGTTATAGAAAATCACCCCAAAAGGGGGGTATAGTAGAAACGAGGTCCGCTATAGCACCCACCCTGCACAAGCCACCCGGGGGTCTTCAATTTCGACAGGTGGTATATCCGGGTGATTACGGTACTCCCAGTTTTCTCCCTGCCACCACCACACACACAACCTGCCTCACATCGACCCTCTCCCTCTCCCCTCCAACCTCCCTCACTCTCCTCCCTTCGCCCCCTTCCGTCTCCCCTCCAACCTCCCTCACTCTTCTCCCTTCGCCCCCTTCCATCATCCCGCACTCTACTCCTGTCGCCACTTTCCATCTCTCATCCTGTCGGAATCTCACCCACCTCCATCTATCCCTCTTCATCCCTCAGCTCTTTCTTCTTAGGGCCTTTCTCTTTTCCGGTGCAGTCTTCTCTGTTGCTCCTTTCTCTCAGACCTTCTCTTTCTGCCACCGGTCTCACTCTTGCTACTTTCTTGCTTCTCTGCTTGCTCACTGCTACCCATGTAGTATCCTCTCTTGCCCCCTCATGAGCTCGATGCTCCCTCACATCACCCTTACTCCGTTCCTCTCCTTAGCCGTAGCTTGCCATATCTTCCTCTGCACACTACTTGCTAGGCTTACAGCAAGGTTTATCATGTTAACAAGGAAAACATACAAGCAATGAGGTTAGCTCAACAAGGATCTCCCTATTCTACCAGCTCTGCCTCCTCCTAGTGCCTGTCCCATCATTCTCTAGTCTGTCCGCTAGTAGCTATTGCTACCTACGAGCATGCTTGCATCCACGCTGCCTCTTGCCACCCCTCCTCCCCCTTTGGCTACTTAGCCTCCAGCTTGCGCAGTTCAGATCCAGCTGGCTCCTTGGAGCAACCCTGCACATTCAGGAAAACAAACACGCATGCATTCGAACGCCCATCCAAGTGCTGGCTGCTAACCCATTGCCACTGCCTTGCGCTGGCAACCCTTGCTTACGTAAGTACCGCCTTGTCGCTTCCATGCAACTCCCACTTCGCTTCGGCAGGCGCCAATCCTCCTTTGCTTCTCAGCTCCTCGAACCGTTACTTGACCTTTCGCATTCCATCCTCCTTGCTCTCTTGATTCGCTATGTACAGTATGTACAACCCCCATTGCACTCTTCTCTCCCTTCACATTCATACAAATGTGACACTCCAACCTTCCTTGCATCCCGCTCTTTAATTTCCTCCTCTCGCCTCTCCTCTTGCCTTTCCTCCCCTCTTTCTCTCTCCCCTCTTTCTCTCTCCCCTCCTCATCTCCCGTCCTCTCTCCCTCCCCTCCTCCTTCCTCCCCCCCCCTCTCGCTTACCCTCCATTCTCCTCTCATCCCCTGTCCTCCCCTCCTTCCTCTCATTCCCTCACCCCCACCTCCTCCCCACTCTCCTCTCCCCCGTCCTCTCCTCTCACATCCCCCTCTCCCACCTCTCCCACCTCTTCCACTTCTTCAACCACTTTTTTCCCCTTTCCTCCCCACTCTCTCCTCCCTGCTCTCTCCCTTCCTCGCCCCTCAGTCCCACGCCAGATCACAGCATATACTGCTCCAAGGGGTCTATACACCCTCCCAGGGGGTCTGTGTCTGTGTCCTCTATGCCCTCTTCCAAAAAACCCATGTACCCTGCTAGAGGATCACCCCTCCCAGAGTTCTCATCTGGAGCACCTGTAGGTGTGGGATTATATGAGTCTAAAACGTCCAAGTGTTTCAGGGAAGCTACGTCTTGCACTGAGCCATCTGTACTCGTTATAAGCTTCCCTGCTGTGGCTTTTTCCTGCCCCTTTCCCAGCTGCTTCCCATTGCTGCTGCTAATCCCGCTCCGGCTTTTCTCTCCTCCATTCCCCTCCTTCTCTTCCGCCTCCTCCCCCTTTTCTCCCTCCTCATCCCCCTCCTCTTCCCCATCGTCTTCCCCCCTCTTCTTCCCCCTCCTCCTCTTCCTTCTCCTCTTCTTCCCATTCCCCCTCCTCCTCCAACTCCTCCCCTCCCTCCCACTCCTCGCCCCATCCTCCTTCCACCTCCCCTCGTCCCACATCCTCTCCCCCTCCCCTCCTAATCCCTGATACAGACCACCCTATGTACTCCGCTACCGGGCCAACCCACCCATCTACACCCCCCTCTTGACTCCTCTGCTTCGTTTTTCACCAATCAACAAGTCTCATTGCGGCTGTTCTCCCTTCCTCCTTTGCTGCTGCAGCCTCACCCCTCCCCTCCGCGCGTCTCCCCCTCAACCCCTCCGCTCTACCCTCCACGCATTTTACCCCCAGCCTCTCTGCTCTTCCTTCTGCGCGTCTTACCCCCAGCCCCTCAGCTATCCCCTCCGCCAAACCCTCTATAAGCCCCTCCGTTAATCCCTCCGTGATTACGTTTCCCACCCCACCTGCCTTGCCCCCCTCCCATGCCCCCACGTGTGCGCGCGTCTCCCTGCTTCCCCCCTGCGCTGAGCCCCTTAACCATCCGCCCTCTGCCCTTATCGCCCCCCCGCCCCCCCTTTCCCCTCGCATTTTCTTTTCCCCTCCTCTTCCCTTACAGTCCCCCCCTCCACCTCCCTTTTCCCCTGCATGCCCCCTTCACTTCTCCATCTTCCCCCTTGCACTCCTCTAACCCTAATCACCATCTCTTTTCCCTTACCCTCCCCTTTGACCTCGCAATTGTTTTTCCTGACCAGCCCAGACCTTTTCTTCCCTGCCCTCGAGGACCTTTCGTCCTCGACTGACGTCATGCTGTCGTCATCTGACGATTCGACCTCGTCGCTAACGACAAACCCCTTGCTGCTGCAAATGAAACCTTCCGAGCTACTGCCGCCACTGCTCCCGCTGCTGTGACTGCTACTGCTGATTTCACTGTCACTAGCCGCTACAACCTTTCTAGCAACGTCACCGTCCTTCATACCCGCGCTGCTCGTTCTGCCGGCTTCCGCGTTATTCTTTCTGCCAGCCTCCGCACTGTTCCTTGTTCTCCTACCATCTCGACC